GTGTCTGTCTTCTGGTGTGCGCTTAAATGTGGCTTGACTTTTGCCTTGAGATGTGCTAATTGAAATGTCATGTATAACGCTGTGCCCAAGAGAAACTGTCCGATTTCTTGTCGCGTTTGATGTCCGAGCCGCACAAGTCCCGTGGTCGGGTTAAGATCGAACGTCAAAAGCGCTATGTTTTTGTATTGTTCGCGCCGCGCTGATCTCAGTTGCTGCCCGGCCGGGGCCGACTAACGGTGGCTGGCAACAGCTGTAGATGCGGTCACGTGACGCCCTGGGGCGTCCTGGCGGTCAGTGCAGCGCGGTCGGCTGGCGGGTTCGCCATACAGTTCTCTATATACCGTGGCCACACTAGCGTTCGGAGCGGCCTGGCCGGCGGGAGAGCCGTGCGAACGTGCGCCAAATATTGGGCCGAATCTCCTTGGGCAGTTCGTTTCTTTTCTTCTCTTTGCATTGGCAGGGAATACGTCCTTGATCACGTGGTGATGTCTTGCACCACTTTCAGGTCATGTGGGAATTAATGCGTGCTAATTCTGAAAAAGGGCCACTGTGCATGGGTGGAGAACCTGCCCCGGCCACCCCGGCCGTGGCCGGGGTAACTTTCAGCCTACCCCGGCGCGGCCGGGGTAACTTTGTCCACTTTTGTAAATCCTATCTCCATGCGAAAAACTGCCACCTATAAAAGAATCTCTCATTATTCTTATCTACCTTCAAAGGTTTTTTAAAATTTACTTTATTTTCATTTTGGAGCTTCTATGCTCTCAATTTTTTTTTTCATCGCGCAGCCCGACAAGTTTCATCTAACAACCCTAAATCATATTTAAGGGCCGTTATCGTAAGATGGCACTGCAATATCATCACAAGAGAGGACGAGGGTAATATCAGTGTCCAGTGAGATAGAAGGACGAGCTGTTGGGGGCTGGGGCTCAAGGCTCCTCCAACTTAACCCGCGCCAGGGTGGTGGCCCTATCGTAACACGTTGAGTCGAGCGGTCGGCGTTTCACGCTCCTTCTAACTCGGCTACTGGGCTACGAGGCGAAAAGCGGAACGACGTTTGAAAGAGGGACAAACGTGATCAGAGAAATCTGGTCAAGTTTTAGGCAAGCTCAATCATAAAATCACCATAGATAATAAAAGCCAAATTCCTCTGATTTTAGCGTTCTCCAACGGCTTTTCTCAAAGTTCATAACATAAGTCTGTCCCGTAGCTCAGTTGGTAGAGGCAATGGACTCCCGAGAGCCCGGGTTCGAGTCGCTCCGGCGCTCGATATTTGAGACTCCTGACGGTGATGGTCTGCGGTTGGTGGGAGCAGCCGCAGCCAGCTGAAGTCAGTTGAGTGGGACAGGCCGTGTCCGGCTTTGAAGGGCACGTTAAACTTTGGCATCTAAATTATCCCGTTACCCAGAATTGCGCGATCGGACGGTAGGGTTCGGGGTCTACCTACGCAACAAGCTCTGCTTAGCGTGGGCCCCCGGCTCTGTCAATCGGTCCATTAAAAAATTCGAGCTAAATCACTGCAAATAAAACATTGGATAACTCGTAATGGCAGACATCCATTGTTCCATGCCACAGAATAGGGGTTTGTTGATAACCGTTGACAAATATTTGTGCATCATCGTCTTTCTGACTTTCGGTCGCCGGCCGGGGTAACTTTTTCAAACATTCTCCACCCATGGGCGCGACTACCTGGTCCGGCTGCCCAGTGGCCGAGTCTACTGGCGGAACCGGCGCTATCTGCGACCCCAGAGATCTCTCATCTCGGAGGGCGCCGCCACACTTGCACCCGGGCGCCGGCAGCAGCCCGCTCCGAGCTCGGCACCCGACGGCACGGAGGAGACCGCCGCCGCTGCGCCGGCGGGCGGACAGCCGGCACCACCGGTGCTGCGGAACAGCGCCGACGACCCCAGCTCAGTGCGCCGTGGGACGCGCCGCCGTCGCCGTCCGGCCCGACTGACCGTGCGCTGGGCGGACCAGACGTACGACTGAGTTCGTGCGTCCACGCCGTGTGTGGTGTACATTTTTGTTTATGTGTTAGACGCAATGCGTATTTTGTACCGACGCATGCGTCTTGAGGGGGGGGGGGTGTTGTGATGGGGCACGTTTTCCCTTCCCTTCATTTGGTATCACCCCCCGGTCATATGGAAGCACAGAAACAATAAACAGTTCCATGGTCGCCGCCATTGTGTTTCGAGGGTAATCGGCCGCTCCCGATAAATCGCCGCGAGAGTGCTAAACTAACCACCGGAATCGACCATAACAGGGACTAGAGGAACGACAGCTCTGCGCTGTAGCGTCTGGATACGTCCGTGGAGTGCTGGCATTAGCGTCGCCACGGGGGGGCAAGCGGGGCAGCTTGCCCCCCCAACCTCGGACCGGGCACCCCCTGAGATCGATACAGATCCGATGAGATTTTGGAGTCGGGAAAAATGGGGGTACCTTTCTGAGAATGCCTGTGAGGTCAGACTCGTTCAAGCCAGAATCGGAGTCGCAGTCGCCAACATCGTCAAAACACCGACTCCAGACTCGGAAGTGTCAATACTGTGATTCATTTCATGTTCCTCGTTGGTTTTTTATTACATTTTATAGCTGATTTTCATAAGTTTTGAAGTGCTGATACAAAATTTGCGTTCAAAGCGTGACACTGAATCTTCGGGCCTTTCTCAACTCTCGTCAAATGTCTGCGACAGACTCAAGTACCGTTCAAGTGCCACAGGGCTCATGACTGCTTGCTTTTCACACAGGCTCCGAAGGAGCTCCACTGAGCTCTAAGAAGCCTTCAGAAGGCCCAAACCGGCCTCTGAGAGTCCCACTGGTGTTCATATTCTCTGAGGGCCCATACAGGAATCTTTGAGGACCTTACACATGCGTAGACCTCTGAAGGGCCACACGGATCTTTGAGGATACTTTTAAATATTTCTGAGAACCTTAGGCCTCTGATAGCTCAGCCGAGCTTTTGAGGCGACAGATTTTGCTGAGCCTAAGCCTGCAGTTTAGGGGTCACGACTCGGGTGTGCCTCTGAGGGTTCCAGCACATGTTTCTTATGTCCCTATGTAGGGTCCTTAGGGATTCGACACAGACCTCCAGGGTTCACACTGCTATTTGAGGGCTCCCTGCTCACCCTGGGCCTGGTCTCTTAGCGCCCGCCGCCGGCGCCGCCCACACTGGCTTCTAAGGGTCCCACCTTGGGCTCGGAAAGCCCTAAAGCACCACATATGTACACGTAACTATTTGGGGTGACCAGCGCCGATTTTCAGGATCCTAAGCAGGCTTCTGAGAGCCCACACTGACCCTGAGTGGCCTAAAATGGCCTGGAAGTCCCAAGCCTATCGCTAAAGGATCCCTTGCCGCTATGCCGTGCGAAATTTTGGTTCCGTCCGTTAAACGTCTTTTCTTCGCGTTTGCAGCGCTTCCCTACACACGAAAAACGAGAAACTTTTTGTTCACACTACACCTCCTCTCACTGGAGCAAAGATGAATTACTTCCGATTCACACTTCCGACATTCACTCTCCGCTGAAAGCCCTACTTAGCTTCAATCGGCGGCTGGGATAAGCCCTATGCATTTTACGTAGAACCTCTGCATGCATGCGTGAATGAAAGTTTCAGCAAGGTGATTCGCTTAAGCTGAGCGTTTAACCTTTTTATGATCATGAGCGACGAGCGTCTGCACAGGGGCTCTCCAGAGTGCGTCGGCAAGCGCAGCCATTGTGATTCTACCGGTCGTTTTTTGTTCAAAAATTTAAAAAAAATTAAATTTTCTGTAAAAAATGGCAAGTCATAGCTACAAGGAAAACCTTGTCACCATCGTATTCCTCGCACCATTGCGCGTTGAATGATATGTAAAATGAATGAGTAACGACTGGAGGAAGGCAAGATTTAACACAAAAGTTGATTTTGCCCCCCCAACCGAAAATCTCTGGCGACGCCTATGAGTGCTGGTGCACGCGGCCGCCACCTGGCTCCTGGTGACGCCACAATCCCACGTGGAACTTCTCCAGAGGGAGATGCAGGCGGTTACCCGTATATCACCGGCTGCCCCTTGTTTACCCCAGCCCACGCAGTGATGGCGGAGACCGGACTGATGCCGGTGCCCGCTGGCCGCCCGGCGAGACGTGCTGGTAGCGAAGCTCTTCGCCAAGGCGCACGCGCTCCCCGAGGGCAAGCCCTCAGGACTATCGCGGAAGATGGGCCGCCCAGCCGACTGAAGTCGGTGACGGGCTGGCGTGGGGTGGGGCACGAAACCTGGCGAGCGGCTGGGATCGCCCTGCTGCTCGACCCCCTGGTTGCATGCCAGCGCGCCGCCGTGGGAGGTGGCCGCCTTCCCAGACTTCACCTTCAGGCTGGACATCGGGACACTGCAGCGCGACGCCTCGGCTGATGAACTACACCTGGCGGGACAGCGACACTTGGCCACCCTCCCCAGCAAGCCATCAGGGTATGAACTGACGCATCGGCGGAAGCGGGAGTCCGCAGCGGAGAAGCCTTCGTGGAGTGTACACGGGTGTGGGAAATGAATGCTAAGTGTATCCAAATTGAAGGCACTGCTCTCGAATGATATAAATACTGAACAGCTTTGGATTGTTTGTATTCCAAATGTTTACTTTCAGGACGAGTACTCCTTATCATTCGGTCGTCAACTCCTCTCTCCGACGCCGGCTTAGCGCAGGCACGTATAACCTAAAATTTGGCCGGGGGGGGAGCGGAGGAATCCCGTAGAGAGAGCCTCCTACCTACAGAGGGCCCTCTACCCGAGGAGTCAGAGGTGGTCAGACACAGACACTAGCGGCTATTCACAGGAGGCCCCATGTAGTAAATTGAATGACCCTAGGTGGCAGGCGAGTCGGAGAGCCTTGATTGTCCTGACGTGATTTTTTGGGGATTCCCATGAATTTCGTTCGTCTCCGACGTGATTTTGGCCAACGTGGGCCTTCTGCCAGCATGGGCCCTGAAAACCCCTAGGGGGGAGGCGCACCCCGTCCGTCCCCCCTTGGGTGCGTCCCCGGTCGGTCCAGCGGCTCCACACGCGCCTACCGACACACAAGAAACTCTTGCCATTATGTTTGCTTCTGACGCAATCATGACAGAATTACGCTCTATTGATATGCATGCTGCCATTGCTTTGGAGTCGGTCTTTTGAATTTCTGCGTTTTTTTTTCGGATCGGCTCCACTCTCCAGACAGCTGGCTCAGCCTGATCGACCAGAGCGATGCGACACCTATACCAACTTGATACCAACCTACTTGGCGGGGTGGTGAATTCATGAAATGCGAATGCGAAACATGGCAATAGATGGCGGAACGAACAGCATGGGGAAGGCTGGAGTGGGACACGCATTGAGAAATGAAATCCGTCACTTCCCAGATTTCGAACGCATCCTTAGAGTGCATTACTTTTATGTGCTTGCGTTCGGTCTTGGGATTTCTCAGCAGATGTCGCCAACAGCAGAGAGATTGATCTAGAATGTCTCGTTATCGGAAAAGTATGGTAGCTATACGCCAAATGGTTTTTGCGTATAGTTACCATATTACTTCCGATATGACTGTTGACATTACTGCGGATATGACCGAGCAGTGCATTGGCAATATGCCAAGGGCAGTAACATGCCGTCAGTCACGTCAGTCATCGGCCTTGGCTATCTGTAAGAATCTTGGCAGGAATCTTGGCCTTTTCTTGGACCCATAGCGTCGGCCTTCGACCAATCATATCGCCGAATTCCCAGGCAGTGAGAGACAAATACGGCGTGCCGAAGACATATTGGGTGTCTCAAAATCACTAAGAACTCTATAGCTCAAAATTTAAGCCCTGCACTTTTTTAGATCTACCCCGTTGAGTGGCATTTTTGTGAAAATTATGTAAATATATTAATCAGAATAAGGGAGAAGTGTAGGGGGCGGCGGGTGAGGTGCAGAAGAAGAATAAGAAGTTGTACCTATCCAGTAATTTTATCTTGATTTGTGGATTAGAGGAAGACTAGATTTTGATAAAGAAATCGGCAAACTTGAACTGCAGGTAAGGTGTTGGTTTGTCATGCCGATTGTCTTGAAACCTGTTCCTTTTAAACCTGGGCTTCACCATTTACGCTCCATATGTGAATTAGCCTTGAGGCAAAATAATCCGGCAGGTGGCTATTTTCTGTTTGTAAAACTGGCCTCAGATGGAGTGCTATCATTTGATTAACCATCACATGATCAGGCAGCAACAATGTTTGTGGTTTTAGAATCTTGAAAATTTTTCTTGGGAGTGGCACTTGGTAGACATCTGTTTGTGATTCTGCTAGAGCAATAGCGTCGTGCTCAAGCCAGCCAAATTTTAGACTGCCAATTCACAAGAAAAAATGCTTGGTTAATCAGATTTCAGGTATCAAAATATTAGGTAAGGCATCAATAGGCATTTAATTCAATTCTGGTGGTAAAAATCATGACCATATATTGGCATATCATCAATTTTTAATTTGTTGTGGCACACCTTGTTGTATATTGAGGCTTGAAGATGCTCAAGTAAATATTTTTGATGCGTGTGTTGATGAAGGCTAAAGTCCAATGAAAATAAAAAGCAGAAATTATCCTGACCTTCCCTTCCCTACTAACCTCCAACCTCCAACCCATCAGCCTACAAACCACCGTTCAGACTTCATCTACACGCAGGTTTAACATTTTATGATAAAGTAAAAAATGCTCAGCTTGTAATCCAATGCCTTTCAAAACCAATAGGCCTTTTTGGCCTTGCGAATGGTTAACGGAGAGAGAGAGTTACCTAACTCTATCATGTAAAAGCTGCTTTGAGAAAATAGCACTGTGTTTTATCCTGGCTTCATGACTCTCTAACGCTCTTTCAAACACATGGTTGTTTTCTGACAATTGGTGATACAGAGAGGGTCTGCATTAATGTCCAAGTATGGTCATTTAGGATCAATTTTTGGTGCCCTCGTTTTATATTATTCCAGCACTCCAGCAGCCTTACCCCGCGTTCGATGTCTCTCGGATGACGAAGATTCTACGTCGTCCAGCCAATCCCGTCCAAGGTCAGCGGGGGCTCGGCTGTGGTTATGAAGCGTGATTGGCCGGACGGCGTAGAATCTTTGCCGTCCGGGAGACATCGAACGCGGGGTTAGTCTCCCCAACTGACATGCGCTGAATTTGTCGCATGCAACTTTACACCTGACGTGCGCCGAAATTTTAGGTGGAACCCTGCCACTACGCCAAATATAAGTTATGGCATGATCACTGCTCAGTTGCGCAGGTTCACCAGAACAGCGTTATGGGTGCAAAATGACCACCGTAGCGCCCGTAAACCCTAATAAACAAAGAATCAAACATCAGTTGCGCAGTTAATGCCAATTTTCACAATTTTGATTGTCCATTGATATTGTTTGGTCATTTCAGGACTCGTGGCGCTGCTCGCCTCCTCGCCAATGCGAACGCGTTCTCTGAGGACAACCCGCCCAAGGCTAGTATGGCGAAGCCACGCCACCGCGCCGGCTATAGACTCACGGCCTGAAGCGAGTTTGGGCGCGACGGCTGGCGAGCCAAGGCGGCGGAAAGTCGTCTGGCGGAGCTCCCGTCTGAGGCGAGCTTGATCTGGTCAGACATCTCCGCCACCGATGGTGTGCTAGATGGAGGAGGAGGGGCCACCCCCCCCCCCCCTGAACCGCGACATCCGGGAGGTGCGTGTCGCGGCAGGCGCCCTCTGCTCTAGCACGCGCGGTGAGCTATTCGCCCTAAGAGCGGTGTTGGAGGAGCTGTTGACCAAGACTGGTCGCGACACCTCTCTTCCGATAATTATCGTCTGTACCGACTCGATGGCGGCGCTGGCCCTCCTGCGGAGCGGCGCGGCGGCCCAGAGAGCCCCTCTGGCCGCAGACATATGGGGGCTGCTGGCAGCGCTCACCGAGGGGGCCAGCCAGTGATAATGCAGTGGGTTCCTGCACACTGCGGGCTTCCGGGCAACGAGCGGATGGACGCCCTCGCGCGCGAGGCTGGCGCCCTATCCCAACGGTAGCGCCGTCCGCCGATCGACTTGGGCAGCACTATCTGCAAGGCAGGCGCGCGCGACGCTGCGCGCGCCTGGCGGCGGAGCTGGCAGGACGGATGACCCTGGCTGCCGCCGTGAGAACCATCCAGAACCGTACGGCTATGCTGCGGCAGCGGCTGAAAGGAACGCAACAACAATAACTACAACAGCAGCTGCTAATGAAAGGGGAAATCATGGAGCCGGATGACTCGGCACATGGCGCTCAGCCAGCTGAGAATGAGAGCAGCTATCAAATCGCCAGCAGGGTGCTGCGGCTGGTAACTGACGACCTTGGTAGAGAGAGCGCCTCCGCTGATGCGGATGAAACTACCCCCTCTCGGGTTTGTTTGACGCCGTCTCCGTCGACTCTTTCGCCTGGGCCGGCTGGCGACCGCGCTACATTTCTTGTGCAGTGACTCGTAACTGTGTTCACCAAACTTTCAAAACTCCCCTCGTTAGCATCTTTAAAGAATGTTTTCCTTGTACACTGCTGCAATGTCTTATGTAGGCATGTTGTACAGTCTAAACGAGTGTGGAATGCTTTGTTGTGCTTGTTCTGTATTTCGTTTGCTATTTATCACGGTGACTATAATTTATTTTGACCAACTCTTGCCTTGTTACAATTTTAGTGGATGGTTTCTGAACTGCTGTTTGCATTATAGATTTTGCTAGTGCGTAGACGCCAAAGATTACTTTATACCTATTGACGCGCCAGATAAAGGAGGTGAAGTATTCCTCTGATCTATACCTACGGAATTCCTTTATGTGTGTTTTGTAATCGATATTGGCGGTTTTCTTATGTGATGCGGTGTAGAGCGTGGCTGAGGAAGGCGATGTTTAAAGTTGCTAGTTATTTTTCAATACATCTTTGATCGGGCTGTCGTGCTTGCTGTAGGTCGGACTTCCGTTCTTGATGGTGATTGGACGCACGTGCCGGTAGTTCACAACAATGCGGCTTTCGATTATAGTATAGATTTAGATGCATTTAAAGTGTTTGTATACGTAGTCCTGAGTTTCGAGATATTATCCTTGCGGGCTTCTTGCCAACAGATTGTCCACTTCTGTGTCCAGTACTCATCCCACTCACGAGGCTCAGTTGTGTTTGCCAGTCCCTATACGGAAACATTGGCCAGATAACTGACTACTACTGAAATTTTAAGAAGCGTGGGCAGTAGGGCATAACGAACGGTCCTCAGCTTCAGTAGCCGCGGAGGGGGGGGGGGGGCACCGCCGACTTTTGGTCCCATTCTTTCCATGCAGGCCAAAATCAAAGGGGGCACGGTGCCCCGGTGCCCTCCCCGTTCCGTCGCCTATGCTCAAGTTATTTCTGACCTGACAGGCTCAGGGAGGATTGCTCTTTGTTGTTTTTTTCCGATGAACCCTCTTGCTGCACACTGGCTGATCCAAAGGATGGAGGGGACGGGGGGGGTGCAGAGTCAGACGTATGAAAAAAAGAAGACAATGTTCTTTCCCTAGCGCACGAAATCAATTCTTAAATGAAAATTAAACGAATAAGCTTCCGTTAAGAAGCCCCCGTTCCGTATCTTCCGTTCCATTCCACGACTGGCACGTTCCAGTGACTTGCTGCAGTAGCGTCATCTATACCTCGCCCTTACTGCCGGGAAGGCCGCGAGTTGCGACATCTATACTATGTCTAGGCCTGAAGTACCTCTTAGTGTTCTTCCGCCACGATGTATTTATTTTTGTCAATCGGTTTGGTCCTTCTGGCCGGATAGGTCGTCAGAATTATCTGAAGGTGCCTGAAATGTCTCGTTAGTGGAAAAAATGTCTCGTTAGTGGAATTCCACTATCTGGCAACTAGCCCTATGTAAACGCGGCTACTGTCATAGCATTTGGCAAGGTTGTTTATTTGGGTGCCTTTTTATGCTCTATAAAACACATTTCAAGATTCATTAGGCGGTCATCTTACTCGTGAAAGTTGTATGACTTAGTGTATTTTGACCGGCTGTCATTAACCCGCGCCCCGCTGGGGGGGGGGGCAGAATCTGCCCCCCCTCCCGTTTTTCGCCAATAACTTTCAAATGCGTTACCGTAAACCGGGGTGAGTTGATATGGATTTTGAGGTTTTTCTAGATTTCATTAAAAGCCACATTCATTTACGGAATTCTTTTTGTGCCAGTTTCATGGCACATGCCTTGGGGAGGCAATCAGCAAAAATGAATAAAAAATGTATGTATTAAGCCCCTTTTTTAAAACGCCAACGTTCATATCAACTCACCCCCTGGGGGGTGGTGAGTTGATATGGTTTTGGATTTTTCAAAATTTCTCGGTTAAAGAAGCTCAGAGGTGAGTTGATAAAATGCCAGTGTTTAAAAAAAGGATGAGAGAACACATCCTGAAAGAAACCATCAGAAAAATGGTACCGTAAAGTGGGGCTATTTGAAACGGATTTTACAATTTTTGGCCTCTCCCTTTAAGACGGTTCATATTTCTTATAGCATGTAAATTGCAAAAATGTAGTTCTCCGTAAGCTCTTTCATATAGGTGCATTTTGGTTCAGCTAGTAATAATGATTAAGGATATTTTTTTAGTTAAAGCCTGTCTCAAATAGCCCCATAGGGTGGGGCTATTTGAGACAGTTTTAGTTAAGAAGAAATTGAAGAAAATCGGTCACGCTAAAGATAATTTTTTAAATGCCATGCGATTGGAAATTAAATTTTGATCATTCTGGCAAAAATTGTTTTTGCAAAGACAGTTATATTTCCTTTATATTCAATCTTTTCCTTTTTCTTAGGATGCTTCATTTCGGTAGGTTTTAAAATTGCATCACTATATGCTGAGGCTATCATAATTCATAATATGATGTGACCCTAAACTTTCAAATGTGCAGAATGATCACCAAGGACTATTTTAAAGTCAACAACAGTAAAATTTTGAAAGAAAGTTTTTGGATATAGCCCTGGCGGCGTGAAAACAGACATACTGAAAGTCGGTGGGGCTATTTGAGACAGGCTCGCTACCTAATGAAGCACACCGTAATGAATCAAACGAGCTAAAAGGTTTCCCAAAACATTTAAGTGAATGGTCTGCATGATTCCTTGTTCCATTGCACATCTTCATGTGAAGAAATAACAGAAAAATGTTAAGCGGTTTTGATTTTATGACGATTTTCCTCGATCGCTGCATGCTGTATCAATTGGCCGGTTTACCACATCAAGCCTACTTGCATAGGCTCACCTAACAGTACGTTCATGTGTTAACCCGCGCGGGGCTGGGGGGGGGTAAATTTTTCCACCCCTCGCGAATTTTTGCGATATCTCAAAAACGGCGGCGCGCAGCGCCGCCAAACTTTCAGTACCTTTTCTTACATCAATTTGACACGTTCCCTGAAAATTTGAGCGAAATCCGTCGGAAAATTTTTGAGAAATTGACGTTTTAGTGACGTCATGTTCGCCATTTTCGCCTCAAAAACGGCAAAAGTTCAAACGCCGCTAACATCTTCATTTTTAAAGGAATCAAGACGTAACAAAAAAGGTTATACGTAATTTTACTTTGTCTATCAAATGGCTATCTCGGTTTTTTGAAAATGTTGGATTTTGGCCTAAATTTTTTCAAAAAACTGACTTTTTTGGGAAAATCATTATAAAATCCAAAATTTTGAGTCTATCGAAAAAACCGGAATATATGTCAGAGAAGTGGTCCATGTGCATCAACATACCAAATTTTAGAAGAATCGGTTCAAAAATGTGGGAGTTATTCAAAATTTTATGACGTCACGACACACAAAATTTTTTGAAAAATGACTTTTTTGGAAGTTCTAGACCTCGTACGGAAACAAAAATAGCACCATTCGATTCGCCGTGAAAAACTGCATCAGATAGACACCTTTTTAGGCCTTAACAACCAACTTCAAAATTTGACCTCACTTGACCTGACCTTGACCTGACCTCGACCTGAAATTCATCCAGAGGTGGTCCATATCACTTATTGAGTGTGCCTATTGCATTCTATGAGTAAAATGACCCATAAAACATGTGTCGCACATGCCCTTTTCTATATTTTGTTTTTTTGGTGACCTGACCTCACCTGACCTGACCTTGACCTTGACCTCTGAATGATATTGTATGCAACGAATATTGTCTTGGTAGCCTAAGAACACGTTTTGGGCGATCAGTCTCAGTCCATGACTCCATTCTTCGGCAACTACGGTGCAAGGCCGATACTGTTGAAACTTGCAATTTGTACCCTTGACCTGACCTTGACCTTGACCTCAAACTTTAAATTAAGTACATGTTTTTAGTAGTTCGTGATGAGAGCTTTCGATTGGCGTTTGAATTTTCCAAATCGGACCATTAGTTCGGGAGATAACAGGGGGGGGGGGGTAAAATTTACCCCCCCCCCCCAGCCCCGCGCGTTCGGCTGGAGACCCCAGCCCCGCGCGGGTTAAGTAATCTTCAATGGTGTTTTTTGGTCAACCAAGGTAGACATGTATTGATTGTCGACTAAGTCAGTGACTGATGAAGCACATTTTAAGCACATATTCATCAGAATAACTAGTTTGGTCACCAGCTAAATGGTCATTATGTTACACTACGAACATGTAAATATTGCTTGCTGCTAAAAGTACCTACCATGAACCCACTGCACGTTTATGACCACGACCGATTCATCGGTGTTGCTCATGTCGAACGTTCGATGCACTTCAAGTAGATGGTGGTAAGTCTTCTCGGGTGCAATCGCATCACCATTATCAGTAGCTATTTGGCATATCGGTTGAGGTTTGACCAGGTGGGCATAATCGGGATTCTGAGACAATGGGTTACGCAATCGGCAGTAACGTTAACAATGTATAATATTGTCATGAAAAATATGCTTAGCCTATAAGTAAAACGGTAGTAACGATAGATGCAGTGCTGAAGCTGTGAAAATTTCAACTATGTTAAGCGGCAGGTAGGGGTCCTTTTCGAGCAACTTTAATTGTGCGTTTTTCTGTGTTTCGTATTTTACACCAAATTTCTTTCAAAACTTTTCGAAATTTTCAAAAAGGTTGTTCAGAGCATTCACTGTTCAATTCCACATCAGCCTAAGCGAAAATGACGAAAAAATATCAAACGGTTTTCATTTTACAGCGATTTTACTAAACCAATACCTTACTGTCTCAAATAGCCCCACTGTCTCAAATAGCCCCACTTTACGGTAGTAGTTTGGCAGCAGACCTCACTTTCATGAAAACGCAATCATGTCCAACACAGCGCTATCAAAATGGCTTGATTTTAGCAGTATCATTTTTTCGCTTTATGATACTTAGTTTTACTTAGAACATTCTGAACGTGGCTAATCACGTGTCCTCAAGCCAACGGTATCAAAACTGGCAATTTATTTTGGAATTACAAGTGTATTTTCTTGTAGTAAAAACACATTGTCAGTTGCGGGTCAAGGTTGATATGCCTCTGACAGAGATAATGGATTGAAATGAAAGAATATCTATACTTCTGAGCTTTTGTTGACTGGTAGTCAACAAAATATTAATGAAGTGAAGTGAAGCGAATCTAATTCGGACTGTATTCTATAAGGTGAAATAAGCGACATAAGACAGAATTCGGCATCAAAAGCCAAAATTAACCCTCGCAATGATAGGCGGGCGAACGGACCACCTCGGCTTTTCGCACATAACTCACGCAAAAAGCGGCCGATCGCGACGAAACTTTCAGTACCTCTCTAGTTTATCAATTTTACACATGTTCTAAAGATTTCATGACCCTGACTCAAATGGTTTTTGACTTGTGACCTGATTCTCGAGACCATGCTTGGCCGGAATCGCGATTTGGCGTAGTCGGCTCACATTATCCGCGCATTTCCAGTCTTTTTGTGATTGTAACGTCCAAACATGTAAATGATGTTGGTCCCACGCAGTA